GCCTGGGTGCTGCAGTGTTTTGATAGACGGTCCCTTGAGCTTGGTGTTTTAACAGACGGTCCCTGTGAGGCTGGGACCTGGTCCAGGCTGGCCGGGGAAGAGAAGCAGGGACAGGATGAGAGAGTGGGGAGTAAGAAGGGGAGGGGAGGGGGGTGCAGCTTCGGAGATGGGCTTTGCAGGAGGCCCCGTGTGACCCTGTGTGATGTGCAGGACCCCCTGACCTCTGTCTCAGAGTTCAACCAGAGAGAAGGAAACAGCAGGAGATATCTATTTCGAGATTTTCTGTAAGGAATTGACCCACACGACTGTGAGGGGTGGCTAGGCTGACATCCACGAGGGGCCAGCGGGAGGGCCAGCCATCAGGACTCGAGGGCACGGGGGCGGGCACTGCTGTCCACTGGTGGAATCTTCTTCTTCCTCAAGGAAGCCTCGGCTCTGTGTTCAGGGCTTTCAACAGATGAGATGAGACCCACCCAAATTATCTAGAAGCCCCTCCCTCAAAGTCAGCCCTCTCCCTGCAGCACCGGGGTTCGTGTTTGAGCAAATGCCTGCGACTGCAGCCGCCACCACATGACACGTCAAACCCCCACACCCCACTCCCTCAGGCCTTCCTCCTTCTTCACATGAAGTGACTACCCTGGGAAGTACAATGTTCTTTTCCTCCTGAAAATGTGTAAGAATCTCACAACTTCTGAAAAGCAAATCTCCCAGAGCTGTGGCCTCCTAACAATGTCACGTTTCTATCAGAGCCTCGGGGCAGCCTCTGTGCTCAGACTTGGTCGTGGTCCGTGTTGATTCACTGACCAAATGCCTCAGTTAAGTCTCAGCTACGTACCGTTTCATCCTCACAACCTTCAGTAATTTCTCTGCTCATCGACAAAGTGTATCTAGTTGCCAAGAGTAGCTTGTAGGCATTCTTCATTAAGGTGTTAGGGGAAAAGTAACGTGGTATGTTTGATTGGTTGTTTCTTAGAGACAGGATCTCACCATGTCGAATGAGAGCAAAGAACAACTTGGCAATAATTATATTGTTATGCAGGTTCGGTATTCCTAATCAGAACATCTGAAATCTGAAATGCTCTAAACTCTGAAATTTTTTGAGCACCTAAATGACATCACAAGTAGAAAATTCACACATGACCTTATGTGAGGGGTCACAGTCAAAATATTGTTTCATGCACAAAATTTTTTAAAATCTCTTATAAATTACCTTCAGGCTATGAGTATAAGATTTATATGAAACATAAATGAATTTTGTGTTTAGACTTGGTCCCTTGTCCAAGATATCTCATTATATATATGCAAGTATTCCAAAATCTGGAAAAATAATGCATGAGATTATAACACATAGCACTTACGTTCTAGCACTATATGCTGTTTAGTGCTCACAACACCCCATTTTGCGGACAACAAAACTGAGGCACAGAACTCCTAACTGACTAAACCAAGGTCGCGGCTTCTAAGTACCAGGAGCAGGATTTGAACTTGGGCACTCTGGCTACAGAGTCCAGGCTTGTAACCACAGCAGTGGAAGTGCTACATGCTGGCCACTTGAGATAGTTCAATGTTTGAATCTTTGCTGCATCACCCAGGACATTTTCTTGTGGCCCTTAAATGTTTTACATAATCAGGGGGACTCTTGCTGCCCATAAATGAAAATCCACTCAAAGGATTTGGGTTTGGCTCCACTGGCAAATAAATTGATTCTAGCAAGTACCGGGACACAGCTGCCATCCAGGTTCTTCCACGGGCACTGTGGATGCCTGTCCGTGAGTGATCTACTCTCCACAGTAGCCAGGCCCTGAAGGGACAGTTGGATTGGGGACATCATTCCCTGCCTTTCAAGCCCAAGGCCAGTGGCCCTGGCCAGGGAGCCGGAACCATCTTCAGAGTGTGGGAGCTGCTGCCCCAAATGCTTCTGCTTACAGAGCCCAGCAAAAACGATCTACCTGCAGTCCCCGTCCCTCCTGACGGATGCTGGGACTCGAGGCTTAAATGTCCTCATGTGTTCTTTCCTCTCCCACTTCCAAAAAAAATTTGTCATCTTCCAGAGAAAGTTGTGATTAATGGCAATCCTCAAGTGCCTGCAGTTTCTTAATCATTGCTTTCTTTTACGAAAACATCTTTATAGCCACCTTCAGAATGTCGTTAGATTCAAGCAGTTTGGAAAGATTTTCTGGAGGCAAGACAAAAAAGGTAGTTAACTGCAGATGGCCACCACCTGTGTCCTTCCATCAAGCCACTGTGTTTTCCCATCGCCTCGGCAGGAATGCTAAAATACCAAGTCTGCTAGAGTGCCCTGCATTTTTCTACCTGACGAAATAAAGTCAAGGCCCTGCTAGGATTCCTAGCAAAAACAGAAGGGAGTGGAGAGGTCAGAAAATTATTCCACTTCTTCAGCTCCCCCCAGATGTGTCTGCAGGCAACACATGCTTACAGTTCGGGAGAAATACAGTGAGCCAGTGCTTCTCAAGGAGTTGTCTGGGGAGCTCATTAAGATGCAGATGCTGATTCTCTGGGTCTGGGTGGAGCCTAAGAGGCTGCATTTCTAAGAAGCTCACATGCGATACCAACACAGCAGGTTCACACACTACAGTTTAGGCAGCAAAGAGTTAGGGGCCACACCGACCACTTACGTATAGGAGAAGATTGAGAGAACCTTTGGAAGAAAAACTATGACCATTTAATAATTGTCATATTGACAGTCACACTAAGAGATATGCCAGCCACAGCAATTCACTTGTAGCAAGGGGAGACTGAAGCCAGACTGGCCCAGCAAGGGACCATTTTCCCTGCTCATCTGCAAACCTAGAACCTGGTCTGGGAAGTGGCCTCATGATCCCTTGTGTGACATCACATCAGTGTAGATTAGGATGTGGGGTTAGACATCCCAAAGGGGGACTCCGGGTAAAAGAAGTGTAGTTGCAGATATTTTCATTGTATCATGTCACTAAATTAAAGAGAGGTATTGAAGAGAAAAACAGCAAGCAATATATATATGTCTGCTGTACCACTAAACCATTGATACGATACCATCATGCTATTTCCACATTATCTCTTTGACTTTGTTTAAAGGCTACCTGGAAGGCCAAGTGCTGAATTTCTTTATCTGATACTAGCCCATGCCGAGCTTCCAACACTGAATTTACCGTGGCTAATGTAGATTTCTGGTTTCCATAGCAGCCAATTTACTGCTTGTGCTTAATAAATGAAAACAAGACCTACAACTGTTAGTCTTTTCTTAAAAGACCTTGTTTTCTTTATTGTTTGTAAGAGCAGAAATGCCAGATCTGGACCCTGCTAAGTAGTGATCTTTTAAATGAACCTGACCTATGGTACCAAAAGGAACAGCATGGCAGCAAATGGCCAGGAATGAGCCATTTAATCTTGTTTTCCTAATTAAATGGTAGAAGCCTCTTTATAAGCAATCATCGGTGAAATCTGGTTTCTCTCTTGTTCACTGATAGCTATGATGATGATCTGTTTGCTTGTGGCTGAGCAGGAATGGAAATTCTGATGGCATTAGTATTTTTTTCCAGCAGATGAGCTGCTGTAGGAATTGGCGGGCATAGCACCCTCTCCTTGTTAGGGCTGGTGATATCCTTATAGCCAAGCATAATTCATCTGTTCTCTCTCTAGTCTGCTTCCCTTATTGCCTTCTGACCTCCTACCTCTGCTGTGGTCTCTAGACAGCCAGCAGATGAGCTGTCACAGCTGATCCATGAAGCCCACCATCCGAACAGCCTCCAACACACAGGTATAAAAGTGGTCTCTCTGAAGGGTCTGTCTTCTTCCCCCTCCTTCTTCTTCTTCTTCCCCCTCTTCCTCCTTCCTCTTGTTTTTACCTTATGTTTAAAAAAGCAAGCAAGCAAGAAACCTTTAGAGAATACTGCGTATAGCAGGAGAATAGCAAATAAACATACATGCTCTGTAGGGAAATATATATATACATATATATACACACACACACATATATATATACACACACACACATATATATACATATAAAACTCAGCTGCTTTTTCTACTAGGGCTTTCATTATGGTGATTCATGTAGGAGGTCTGTATTAGTTGTCACTTGGGGTGCCACAGATTAAAGTTTTCTGATCATCTTTTTGACTCAAGGTCAAAGTAAAAAAATAGATTCTTGCAATAAGAGGGGCCGTGGTCCCCCTCTATTCAGTGGGCATTTGTAGAAAATAGACACTGTTTTTGGTTTTGGAGCTACAAAGATGAATTAGACATGGGCCTTGCCCAGGGGAAGTTGTCCAATAGGGACAGAGAAAGGATGCGCGACTCAACCGTGTTGCAGTGGCCCACAGAACTCCCACATGGAGAAGGGGCTTTGTGGTAGGGTCATTGCTGTATGATCTGAGTCAGCTTTATTGTTGGTTTTTGTCTTGTTTAATAGACAAACTGGGACTCAACTCAGTCTCCCTCCGTCTCACAGTGTGAGTAGGTTGCCTGGAGCTCGGACTGCTCAAGGAGCCCTGGAGTGAGAAGCAGAAGAAGGGGCGGGTGGTGCCTGTGGGTGGGAGTGAGTATATGGACATGCCTGGTATCCTGTCTAGAGGTTGAGATGGCCCCTGATACTGCATCATGGACAGGAAGGAATGGCAACAGGATGGGCATGAGGGGGGAACGTGCTGGACAGCAAGCTCAGTGACGTCTGGAGAGCAGAGGAAGTGGGAACAATGGGTGATCTGTCCCATAGGCAGCACCGTTTCCTGGTTTCTGAGCTAAACTCCTCTGAATTATAGCATCCCTTTGTCGTCGACTAGCCCTGTGGCCTTGAACCACCATCTTGATTCCCTTCCCAGTTGGAGCCTCAGTGTGCCCATAAAACACTGGCACACCACATAGGGCACTTGTGGTGGGCAGCAGATGAAAACAATTTCAGTCATCAGTGGGTTGAGCAGTGCACTGGCCCAGGTGCACCCAGGACTCCTCAGGCTGTCGAGCGGGGAACTCATCTCTCTCTCATTGGTTCTGTGTTCTAGGAATAGAGCTGTGCCCCCCTGGAAAACGGTTCATGATTACGATGGTGGCGAGCTTCGTGGCCATGGCGGGCCAGTTCCTCATGCCCGGGCTAGCCGCCTTGTGCCGGGACTGGCAGGTGCTGCAGGCCCTCATCATCTGCCCCTTCCTGCTCATGCTGCTCTACTGGTCGTGAGTATCCTCTGCACAGCACGCTGGGCTGGTGCGTCTGCACGTGCTTCCTGAAGGCCCAGCCCCGGGCAGGACACAGGATCCCCACACTTCCTGCTAGTTTCAGCTTGTGGTTCTGTCTGAGAAGGTTTTCCTCTCTTTTTAAAAAATGTTATTTTTTGAACTTTCTGTCTTGGAAAAATGTTCAAATATACACAAAAGTAGACAGAAGAGTGGAATGAGTCCCCCGTGCCCTTCACCCAGCTCCAAAAATCTGCAAATCCACTGGCCAGTCTGGCTTTAGAACTACTTGCTACCCACCCCACAGGGTTATTCTGACATGAATTTTTATGAATGGATTTGCAGGGAGGTGGGGGTCTTGTGTTAGGAGGGGGAAATTTGGAGATATTAAAGGAGTGATAAATCACTCCGTATCTCTTCTAGGTGAGGGGTGGGCAACCTTCAGCCTGTGGGTCACATTGGGCCCACTGTCTGTTTTTGTAACTCAAGTTTTATTGGAACACAGCCATGCTCATGTGTTTACGTAGGTATTACCTATGGCCTTCTGGCTATACGCAGAGTTGAGTGGATGCAGCAGGATGGTATTATATAAAGCTGAAAATATTTACTATCTGGTCCTTTACAAAAAATAGCTTGCCCACCCCTGCTCAGTATCAGTCCAATATGCCTTTTTGAACTATGGGTAACCTTAAGTCTTTTGAGTTGCTGGCTTCCGGGCAGGGGGCAGGGGGGAAGGCACTAAACACACTGGTAAAGGGGGTTTGACCTGGGCAACTGGGTTTTTTAAAGAACTCTCCAGGGAATTAATGTTGAGTCAAGACTGAAAACCATTGCTCCATGGATAGAGCAATGTTTACCCTGAAAATGATTGTTTTCCCCTTTTGTAAATGCTGTTTCTCTTCCTTTCCCAGACTTCCTTCCCATCCCCCTCCCATGCTGATACTCTCACCTTACCTATAAGTAGATTATGGATGTGACCCTGTGTTGCTACTGTTTAGTCAACAATGAAAACCAAATTTCTGGCCATGCAGTCAGTCTTATCCTTGCTTTAAGGGTTCAGGGGAGCTGAGCTTCCTTTGCTCAGGTGCCTGGGAGGGAAGAAAGCACCTATCTTTTGGCTTAGTGGTACTGCCTCCCCGCCCCTGCCCTGGTAGTAGATGCCCCGCGAGGGTGCGTGTGTGGGTAGTAGATGCCCCGCGAGGGTGCGGGTGTGGGTAGTAGATGCCCCGCGAGGGTGCGGGGTGGGTAGTAGATGCCCCGCGAGGGTGCGGGTGTGGGTAGTAGATGCCCCGCGAGGGTGCGGGTGTGGGTAGTAGATGCCCGCGAGGGTGCGGGGTGTGGGTAGTAGATGCCCCGCGAGGGTGCGGGTGTGGGTAGTAGATGCCCGCGAGGGTGCGGGTGTGGGTAGTAGATGCCCCGCGAGGGTGCGGGTGTGGGTAGTAGATGCCCGCGAGGGTGCGGGGGTGGGTAGTAGATGCCCCGCGAGGGTGCGGGGGTGGGTAGTAGATGCCCCGCGAGGGTGCGGGTGTGGGTAGTAGATGCCCCGCGAGGGTGCGGGGGTGGGTAGTAGATGCCCCGCGAGGGTGCGGGTGTGGGTAGTAGATGCCCCGCGAGGGTGCGGGGGTGGGTAGTAGATGCCCCGCGAGGGTGCGGGGGTGGGTAGTAGATGCCCCGCGAGGGTGCGGGTGTGGGTAGTAGATGCCCCGCGAGGGTGCGGGTGTGGGTAGTAGATGCCCCGCGAGGGTGCGGGTGTGGGTAGTAGATGCCCCGCGAGGGGTGCGGGGTGTGGGTAGTAGATGCCCCGCGAGGGTGCGGGTGTGGGTAGTAGATGCCCCGCGAGGGTGCGGGGTGGGTAGTAGATGCCCCGCGAGGGGTGCGGGTGTGGGTAGTAGATGCCCCGCGAGGGTGCGGGTGTGGGTAGTAGATGCCCCGCGAGGGTGCGGGTGTGGGTAGTAGATGCCCCGCGAGGGTGCGGGGGTGGGTAGTAGATGCCCCGCGAGGGTGCGGGTGTGGGTAGTAGATGCCCCGCGAGGGTGCGGGGGTGGGTAGTAGATGCCCCGCGAGGGTGCGGGGGTGGGTAGTAGATGCCCCGCGAGGGTGCGGGTGTGGGTAGTAGATGCCCCGCGAGGGTCGGTGTGGGTAGTAGATGCCCCGCGAGGGTACGGGTGTGGGGTAGTAGATGCCCCGCGAGGGTGCGTGTGTGGGTAGTAGATGCCCCGCGAGGGTGCGTGTGTGGGTAGTAGATGCCCCGCGAGGGTGCGGGGGTGGATAGTAGATGCCCGCAAGGGTGCGGGTGTGGGTAGTAGAGTCACAGCGAGGGTGCGGGTGTGGGTAGTAGATGCCCTGCGAGGGTGCGGGTGTGGGTAGTAGATGCCCCGCGAGGGTGCGGGGGTGGGTAGTAGATGCCCCGCGAGGGTGCGTGTGTGGGTAGTAGATGCCCCGCGAGGGTGCGTGTGTGGGTAGTAGATGCCCCGCGAGGGTGCGGGGTGGATAGTAGATGCCCCGCAAGGGTGCGGTGTGTGGGTAGTAGAGTCACGCGAGGGTGCGGGTGTGGGTAGTCCGCGTACCGCAGGGTGCGGGTGTGGGTAGTAGATGCCCCGCGAGGGTGCGGGTGTGGGTAGTAGAGTCACCGCGAGGGTGCGGGTGTGGGTAGTAGATGCACCGCGAGGGTGCAGGTGCGGGTATTAGATGCACCGCGAGGGTGCAGGTGTGGGTAGTAGATGCCCGCGAGGGTGCGGGTGTGGGTAGTAGAGTCACCGCGAGGGTGCGGTGGGTATCCGCGTACGCGAGGGTGCGGTTGGTAGTAGATGCCCCCAGGGTGAGGTGTGGGTAGTAGATGCCCCGCGAGGGTGCGGTGTGGGTAGTAGATGCCCCGCGAGGGTGCGGGGGTGGGTAGTAGATGCCCCGGAGGGTGCGGGGGTGGGTAGTAGATGCCCGCGAGGGCGGGTGGGGTAGAGGTCCCGCGAGGGTGCGGGTGTGGGTAGTAGATGCCCCGCGAGGGTGCGGGTGTGGTAGTAGATGCCCCGCGAGGGTGCGGGTGTGGGTAGTAGATGCCCCGCGAGGGTGCGGGGGTGGGTAGTAGATGCCCCGCGAGGGTGCGGGGGTGGGTAGTAGATGCCCGCGAGGGTGCGGGTGTGGGTAGTAGAGTCACCGCGAGGGTGCGGGTGTGGGTAGTAGATGCCCCCGCGAGGGTGCGGGTGTGGGTAGTAGATGCCCCGCGAGGGTGCGGTGGGGTAGTAGATGCCCCGCGAGGGGCGGGGGGGGTAGTAGATGCCCCGCAGGGTGCGGGTGTGGGTAGTAGATGCCCCGCGAGGGGCGGGGGTGGGTAGTAATGCCCCGCGAGGGTGCGGGGTGGGTAGTAGATGCCCCGCATCGGGTGTGGGTGTAGATGCGGTGCGTGGGTAGTAGATGCCCCGCGAGGGTCGGGTGTGGTAGTAGATGCCCCGCGAGGTGCGTGTTGGGTAGTAGATGCCCCGCGAGGGTGCGGTGTGGGTAGTAGATGCCCCGCGAGGGTGCGGGGGTGGATAGTAGATGCCCCGAGGGTGCGGGGGTGGGTAGTAGAGTCACAGCGAGGGTGCGGGGTGGGTAGTAGATGCCTGCGAGGGGGCGGGTGGGGTAGTAGATGCCGCGGGGTGCGGGGGTGGGTAGTAGATGCCCCGCGAGGGTGCGTGTGTGGTAGTAGATGCCCCGGAGGTGCTGTGTGGGTAGTGATGCCCGGGGGTGCGGGGGTGGTAGTATGCCCCCGCAGGGTGCGGGTGTGGGGTAGTAGAGTCCCGCGAGGGTGCGGGTGTGGGTAGTCCGCGTACCGCGAGGGTGCGGGTGTGGGTAGTAGATGCCCGCGAGGGTCGGGTGTGGTAGTAGAGTCACGCGAGGGGCGGGGTGGGTAGTAGATGCACCGAGGGTGCAGGTGCGGGATTAGATGCACCGCGAGGTGCAGGTGGGGTAGTAGATGCCCGCGAGGGTGCGGGTGTGGGTAGTAGAGTCACGCGAGGGTGCGGGGTGGGTAGTCGGTACCGAGGGTGCGGGTGTGGGTAGTAGATGCCCCGCGAGGGTGCAGGTGTGGGTAGTAGATGCCGCGAGGGTGCGGGGTGGGTGTGAGGGGGGGGGGGGTGGGTAGTAGATGCCCCGGAGGGTGCGGGGGTGGGTAGTAGATGCAACGCGAGGGTGCGGGTGTGGGTAGTAGAGTCCCGCGAGGGTGCGGTGTGGTAAGATGCCCGCGAGGTGCAGGTGTGGGTAGTAGATGCCCCGCGAGGGGTGCGGGTGTGGGTAGTAGATGCCCCGCGAGGGTGCGGGGGTGGGTAGTAGATGCCCGCGAGGGTGCGGGGGTGGGTAGTAGATGCACCGCGAGGGTGCGGGTGTGGTAGTAGGCACCGCGAGGGTGCGGGTGTGGGTAGTAGATGCCCCGCGAGGGTGCGGGTGTGGGTAGTAGTGCCCCGCGAGGGTGCGGGTGTGGGTAGTAGGTCCCCGAGGGTGCGGGTGTGGGTAGTCGCGTACCGCGAGGGTGCGGGTGTGGGTAGTCCGCGTACCGCGAGGGTGCGGGTGTGGGTAGTGTGGGAGGGTGGCGGGTGTGGGTAGTAGATGCCCCGCGAGGGTGCGGGGGTGGTAGTAGAGTCCCCGCGAGGGTGCGGGTGTGGGTAGTCCGCGTACCGCGAGGGTGGGCGTGGTTTCCCAGAGCCTGGTTCTTGCCGACTGTGTCATGAGGACCTGGGCAGCAGCAGGGGCCAGCAATAGCAGATGGAAAAAGGCCACCTGCCGGAGACGCCATTCAGCAGGCACCGCTGCCAGAACTGAGCTCCTCTGCTGGGGCTACCTCCAGCTCTTGTCCCAGAGTGGGATGTTCAAACCCCTCCCACAGCACAGCGTGTTCCGGGACAGCCTCCCTGCCCCAGCAGGGCCTTAAGGAGCAGAGAGTGAGCGGTAGTTTCTCTGGAGAAGGATGGAGTGGGCAGCTTTTTTTCCTTTTATCTCCTAAGGAAGCCTTTCTGCTCCCCCTTGTGGCAGCCTTTGCTGGGCGTAGCTGTTCCGGATCGAGGGTGCTGATTTGTCTAACAGATGCTTCTCTGTGCTTCCCACTGTACCAGTACAGATGGCAAGCACTTTGCAATAGTAAATGGTTCCACCCTCATATCTCAGCAGCCCATCCTATAGAGGACAGAACTGCGGTCCCCTGACCCCCACTGGCTCCTGTCAGAGCCTGGACCTGAA